AATTGGAATCGGCGTCCCAAGCTCTGTAGAGCATTGAACAAATCATATGGAAAAACCACTGCAACCAAGTACCCTTCTCTTGTCAGGATAAGAATTTACAAGGATACAAAAAATTCAAAAATCGAAAGACATTCGGGTCAAACAGGTACTAAAACTAGGAAATGGTCGAGTCAAGGGAGCCACTTTGTACTTTTGCAGGAATATCATTACTGAAGTGTTCACGCTAGTCTGCTCAACGTCTTCACAAGTACTCAAAAACCACAGTAAATTTTTGGTTTCTGAGTAATTCAATGAATGCAAAATCCCGAAACCTTAGCGTGTCTTTGTTATTATAGCCGATCAAGATGATTTCGGACTACGATATGACGCAAATGAGTTCACATCTCTCCTAATGTAAACGATCACTTGTGATTATATACGAGCAATAATTGCACTAACGCCTGTTACAATGTCTTAATCTCACTGATTCTTGGCATTGTTAAGTTTCCACTAAAATTTTATTGTATAGTCTCTCACCTTGGTGCACTAAATAGTAAAATTCCAATATAGGACGCACTGTACACAGATTATCCTATAGCTAAGTTTCTAATTCAAAAGATTACCATGATAATACACGAAAAGCATCCAAACTAATTAGGTTGTGAAGAAAGTTCTGCCAATTCTCATAATCACCGAAAATGAATGCGAATGCAAGGGACTAATCTGAGACGTGTTTTTAGTGCGCGATGGCCCCAGCTACCTAATAGCTACTTAGCTCGAAAAAGTGACGATCAACTAGGAAAAAATACCCCAAGAAAGGAGAAAAATCCGTTGCGCCCAAATCTGCGAAAAGGCATATTTTTGGATTGTGGACGCGCAGAACTTCCAAAAGCTTGATTTGAAAATTCGTTTCATACCCTGTGTATTGACTGTATGAAGCGATAGCCGACAACTTGTTCCGGTGCCTGGACCTTTTTGCAAGCAAGAAATGACTCATTGAACTGAGGGTTCAAAAAAAAATCCACATGGTTCGAAACGAAGATAGCGCGCTTTTTGAGAGAGGGCATATATGATGTATCCAATCAGTAGTCTAAGGTTGTCAGTACACATGACCAAACATCTCTTATTGACGCTCGCTTATGATGAAGATAAAAATAGAACGATTTAGCTCAACGTCTATTGGCATAACTTTTTTTTACAACCCAATATTAGGCGTTTTTGTAAGTTCGTTAAGTTAGTTTGTAACTGTATCATTTTCATTTTCGTTCTCATTTCTTTGAATAGCGATTGATTTGCAGCAAGATGCGTACTAAATTCCATGGGAAGGTAATTCACTCAAATCTCTTAGCTTTTGAAGTTGGCAATTTTGAAGGCAAAAAGGAGCAGTCGACATCGCTAGAAAATAAGCGTTTTTGCCTAGAATTTTCGCCAGTTGAGCATGACGCTCGAACATCAATATGAAACAAAAAAGGATTGGATTGCTACAAATGAACAGGGACTGAGCAGTGTGTCTCTGAGTAAGATTTCTCGGGGACGGCACGCGTCCTGCACTGAAAATTGCTGAACACGAAGACGACGGTCGACCGTACCGCAAGCAACCCAGCTGCACCTTTTGAACTAGGTCCTATCGCAGTAAAAGTCCAATAGACTGATCCAGTGAGTTTTCTACATGAAGAAATGTAACCTCCTATGTGAACGCCGTCTGTTCTGCAAGAGATGACTGGAAGGTACTTAGTTAGCACACAACGTGCTCCCCAATCTCGCTTCATCATATCATCATTCATTCCTCTCTCTCTCTCTCTCTCGCTACCCTTATAAATGATGCATGTCTCGATTTCAGTGAATAATTTGAGCGCTGCTAAGATGAATTTCTCAAAATCCGGCGCGCTGCCGTTTGAAAAATTGAAATCAGAAGCTAAGGAAGTGCTAAAGGCTCGCGTACTAAGAAGGAGTCATTCCAAAAGTATAATAATTTTGATTTTTTCGAAGAGGCTCCACATCTGCTAAAATAAAGATTTCTAAGAGACCTTGGTGCACCCGATGCAGCATTTCATCCTCTTTCCAATGTTTACAGATACATTGCAGCAAATAAAAGACCACTAAATTAGAAAAATCTGCGACCCATGCTTTTTGAGATGCCTAAGTTTCACAATTTTCTGAGCTTTCGCATCAACCTTACGAAGGAGTAGTAACAGATGGATGACAACTACAGGAAACAGCACAACTTTTTTCTCCAAGCTAAATTTTTTTTCAAAGCCACCGACTTTTGGCAGACCTACGCCAGACACAAGCGACCAAACACTAAATCTCCGAGATTTGTAATTTCTAAGATCGTATTATGATTTAACACTTTAGCAACGCAAATGGAAGTTTACGGCATTGAAGTATCCCGTTTCGAATTATTCAAGTACAGCTCAAGGCGGTTTCGGAAACATGAATTATGATGATTTTGCCCTAGAAGACTCCATGAATCGGAAAAAAAACCCTCTTTAAAAAGATAAAATGCTGCATCGAATGCTGCCAAGATCTCTGAGAAAGCTTTGTTCCATCAAATGTGGAGCCCATTCGAAAAAAAGCAAAATTACTTTCGCTTCGAAATGATTAAATATTACTGACTGGTTTTTACTGTAAATTGATGATTCTGGTGTCTCAAAATGGTTTGAACTTATGGAGCGAACTGATAATCGTTATTTTCAAATTCTTCTTATTTTTGATAGTTTCTCCATGCACGTAACATGACTGCAAATCGAGCAAAAAGGTTTTGATAGTAAGGGGCTAACTCAGATCAATATGAAAACTTTCCACGAAACAAATATTCAGGTGTGAGCGGAAACGATTTAACGCACTTTCAACAAAGTCAGGCTCGACAAACAAGGTTTTGACAAAGTTCGAACTACCCACTACAACTGGTACCTGCATTTTATTAAAGCAATCATGGGACAGCTAGGAAAAGACTGCTGCCGAATTTGGACAAAAGTACAGGCTATACCTCGAACTTGCAGGAATTTGCAAAATGTTATATTTGTAAGGATTTTGTTGCACGCAGTAAACGGCAGTTCCTACGTTGTTTGAATGCGATACCGATAAAAGGGATCTCGTGAATGCGGCAATGTTTAATCAAAGCAAAGGAGAGCTACTAGAAGATTAAAGTGAAGTACGTGAGTAAAAAAAGGGAAAAATTAACCACTATTTTATCTTTACTCGCATCCGATCGGTATTCAGATCTTCTTCGCTGGAAAATTTGCTTGCTGGAGAAGCGAATGATAAATTGAAAAGTCTTTTCAAGTGCCTTTTGTTCGATTCAAAAGGGAAAAGTGAATATCTCTTCACTAAACTTGGAGTTTTATAGAATTACTCATTCTATTTCAGCCCTTTCTACACCAATAAATTCTTGGTGTCTAAGATGTCATCCTCATCTGTCAGCAGCTCGCCAAAAATTTTGATATTATCGAAGAGACATCGTAAAAGAATGTCAAAAAACCTTTGCAAAAAAATTACAAGCCAAGCTCGCCTACGGGATTTTTTGAAGAGACGAACTTTTTATAGGGCTTATCAAATTGAGTGTCGTTTGCACCGGCATCTCCATCTTCGCACTGGACTCTGCGTCTCTTCCGCAGGGCTGCTCTCTGAGCACTTTCCCAGGGCGAGCGTGGGAAAGGCGGAACATCAATCGATTGGAAGTGATTAGGGAGCATGTACCCAGAAAAGACGCAGAGCCCAGCGCGAAGATGGAGATGCTGGTGCAAACGACACTCAATTTGATAAGCCCTGTACGTCTAGTGTATGCCGAGGAGAAGCTTCTACGATATCGCGCGCGACACGTGAAAAGAAGTCCACATCGTCTTGTAATAGATAAGATCAGCAAAAGTGATTCAAATGGATTCACGCCCATCATAATTTCTCAGATTCCAATACTATCTTAATAAGTGTCAAAAATTTTCAAGGTGATCACCAGGGTCAAGCAAGGGCTGTGGCACACGATCGCTGGTTACGACCCCCCTCCCTAATTACTGTCTTAATAAGACCCCCCCCCCCCTGAATTATACACCTAAGATAGCTTTACCAGAGTTGAGAAAGAGGTCAGGCACAAGTCTTTCGAAACCCTCCCCCCCCCTTCCATGAAAGCCCTCAAACGACCCCTTCTTCCTATTCTTAACCTCTGGACCTCAAAGTGTGACATTCTGGGGGACACCATCTTTTCTAGAGAGTTTTCAGATTTTTGAGAGCTGTACGCCCGATTTTCTGTGACTGCACTTTACAATCACACGTGATTTGACGGCTGATTTTGATCTGAATGGGCATATCGAAAGAGCCATAATTTTCTTATGGGTGGGGCGTTCCGCTCCAAATTTCCAATGTAGCAAGAAGAAGCTATGTGCTCAATACTCATACCAGCAATGGAGCGCTTTCTGGATTTTGAAGGCAAGTTAAGGGGGTGCGGCACACCCCCTTGAAAGCTGCGGCAGCCGCAGCTTTTAAGGGGGTGTGCCGCACCCCATTAACTATATCAAAAAACATTTCTAGCGGACAGTATTTATATGAATCGATAGCCCAAACCTTGTAGATTCCATAGGACTGTTTAAAGCCTGATTTGTCTTCTTAGCTCTAAGTAATATTTGGTGAAAGCACAGCGATCAGAAGCGAAAAATGGGAAAAACGAGATTTTGGTTGGCTTCTAATTCCACAGTTTGCAGGTCTTCTGAAGCGGGATTCCTGAGGTGGGCAAAGAAGGAGTAGTGCTTTGTCTTGAGTCCAAAAACGGATAGCTAATTCACGTTTGAAACAAAGTTAACAATGTTGGAATTTGACCATTTCATGTAGGTAGCCTAGTATCTTGATTCTTCAGAATTCGCTCACACTTTGTCTACAGGGTTTAATTGACATGCAATTATGGATATGATACGAATATCATGTTATCACTATTATCAGATTACCCAACTACGACCCCCTCCCCATTTGACTTCTCAATACGACGCCCAGGTGTGGCGTGCCGCACCCCACGCTTGACCCTGGTGATCACCATGGCTCATGCCTCGCCACTTTTGCCCCGATCCGAGAAATCAGCTGTCAGACGTCTGGCACGACTGGTGAGAGCTGCATTCCGTCAAGATGAAGAGGAGAACACCGTTAGCTCGAAGAAGTTGGCTACTTGCCAAGGTTCTCTATAAATAGGTCAATTCCAGAAAATCTAAATGGAGCGAGAGCGACCTATTTATAGAGAGCTTGCTGAAAATCAAAAAGGCGCTGGACGAAAACGTCAAACTCCAAGCGCGAGGACAGGTGAAACAATGGCCCGTAGTAAACCTAATTCAGTTCAGGTGAACTGAACTGAAGCCCTCATCCAAGGTCCGGTAAGGTAGACTGCCTATCGCCAGCTCTCCACGTTGTAAGAATGCAAAGTGAGATTTCAGCTGAACGTCCGTCTACCTGACGAGGTAGTCTACCTTACTTCAGTCAGCTCACATTCAGTTAGACTACCTTTTGATGAAAATAGTGTGCTAATGATGATACGCAGAGAAACTTTTCGTAAGTTGCTCCTGAGTAACTTACAAAACATCATAATTTCCCCAATAATGCAGAAAAATTCAACGGAAAACTGCACACATTTTCCCTCGCTGTGCTTGTGGCGGACTTGACGTTCTTGGCCTTTTTTTCGCTTCCTTTCACTTTTTCCTTTTGTTGTCAATGCAGCTATCATTTGAACTAGCATAATTTTTGACGAGTTAATCAAAATCCTCTTTTTTGACATGATATCCGTATCTTATCCCAGCTCATGATTCTGCTCGATGGCAATTTTCGGGTGCTCATCGCTTAAGCGAAATCTCCTGATATAGGACCGCTAGCTGTGTCTGGTCTTGATGAGAACTAGATACTTTTTGAAAGTTTAAAGCGGATCTCAGAAGTGTCATAACTATCTGGTCAGTATTTAAACCCGAGCTGCTATTATTTCCTCCATTTCATGATTTTAGTTTTGCATTCCATTTTGCAGAAAATTTCTGTTTTTAAATCTTCCATTTTCGTGAGTTTGTATATGTCGTGGTCGCATAATCAGCTGTTGTTTTTGATGTTTTCTCTTCCTCTTCTCTTCTTTCTCTAACGCTGCTGCAAACTTTCTCTTTTTCCGCGTCTTCAATATGGTTTTCTTAGGTCAGGCTAGCCTTCGCTCAAAGGGCCGCCAGAAGCGTTTTGGGGCCGAAACGCCCCTTTTGCGACACACCTTTTTGAGGATTAGCCGAAACGGCTAATCCTCAAAAAGGTGCTTAGCTCACAAAACGTTCAAGGGGAAACGATCAAAAGGTCGAATCGATGCTGAGAATCGAGGTGTGATAAGTCATATGGTGACTGGAGACTGGAGATGAATCAAGCTATGTGGTTTAGGTAAAGTTGGAGTATTTGCTGTCATGTGTCAAGAAAGTGATTACTTTCCAAAGAGGAACGGCATCAAAAGGCTGCTCAGATACGTGTTAATAAAAGAAAAGCTGTAATCGAACGAGAGCATTAGATGGTGGCGTGGCCGCACGGAGTTTAGTTGTGGGTGCTTCTTCTAGTCGAAATTGTTTTTCTTCTTCTCATTTGTTTTCTTCAGACAGTTATCTCATTGCGTGCAGCGCCACTGACTTTGTCGATGTGTTACCAAGTGCAATGAGACTATTGTGCACACCCAAGGGCACAATGTGGATTACATGGCGTAAGTACGTCTTTGATTCACTTCGTGGTCACATATTTTGCTTTAGTATTCCTCGATTCAAATCTCGACTAGGTTTCCTGACTCCGGGTCTTTCCAAACACGGCTTATTGATTCTTGATGCTTGATTCGATCAGGTAATCAGTTTTCTTGTTACTCGCCTTTGCCATAGTTCAGATTATAACCGTTACCCTTTCCTTTCAACCTTCTTTCATTACTCGTTCTTGAAGGCAGTGATTGGCAAAATATCCCTGTAAAATTTTGACATTGTTAGGTAGTAGATCTAAAAAGTACCCCGTAGGTCCAATCCCACATTCACACGCGCTAAGTCCTGAAAAGGAGCTTCAAAAGTCCATTAGTCTAACCCATTTAAGTGGACGTCGGTGGACTTTTGGAAAGACGTTTTCAGGACTTAGCGTGTGAATTGGAAAGTAAATTTGGGGCTAGTGTGTAAGCGAATGAATTGGAAGGTAAAATTGGTGAGAAGGTGTACTTGGGGGGTCTACCTAACATTACTAAAATCTGGGAGGGGTTCATTTTGCTGAGCCACTGTCTTCAAGGTTACAGCTTCCGTCTAGAATCACTGCATCTAAACCAACAGCGCGGCTGTACTCGTCTTAAAGAGGTTCAGTCTGGTTTGTCAGTCACCTCATTATGAAAGGTCTGTTATATAGGCAAGTGCATGCAGACGTTGGAGGCTGTTGAACGCAGTTAATCGTTTTTAGCTGGATGATGATGATGAGCCTCCAACGAAGATGCAACCAACCCTGCGAAGACTGCAGAGGGACGAGCCTCCGATACCCGAGGAGTCATCCAGTGAATTGTTTTTGGATAAGGAAGTATGGCTTTGAAACACTTTCTGTGACTCTGAGGCATTTTTCCTTTTCTTGTTACTTGTTTACATCTCTTTCTTTTTGGGAAGAACCATATTTTGTAGTCAGCCAATGATGCAGCGAGACAGCAAAGTGAGCCTATTCCGCCCTTAGCAAACTCAGAAGAAATCGAAATGGGAGAAGTACCGTCGGTGTATGAGACACCATCCGAGGAGCCATCATCTCTTCCAAGTGAGGCACAGTACTCTACTCCTACTGATGAAACTGCGTCTACAGAAACTATTCCAAAGCCAAAACTGGTAAGTAGAGCTGTTTTTTTCCTTTTGCATAGTAGTTAGTAAGCACCTGCTAAGTCATCGCAAGAGCATGTGGACACCGATGACCTCTTCTTTGCATTTTCCTCTGCTTCTGAAATCGAGCCTGCGGCTAGATTGAAAGCTGTTAGTTTCCTTTGCTTGTTACGCGCAACTCAGCCTTTTTCACTTTTCTATTCTTGAAGATCTTCTGTTCAGGGTAAAGAAAGACCAATGACCACGTTAATGTCACTGCCAAAGCTGCCTGTACCAGAAGGTAAATTCGCTACGTAGACCGTCGAATTGCTTTAGTTGTAGTGTTTTCAGAACCTCGTATGGCACTGGGTGGAATCTCGCGTCTCGGTGAGTGCTTTCTATGTTTGATTCTACTCTCATAAATTTGCAAGTCTCATTTAGACATCGGCGATGGTAGAATCCAAATACCTGTAGCAAAAGTAGCTCTAGGACCTGTACCAGAAGAAGATCGCATTGGAATAACTCAGCCGGATCGTCCTTTGTTAGATGCCGTGAAATCTCGGGTAAGTTCATGCCAGTACATACTTGCTCGAGAGTTTACATTGCGCATTACAGACACGGTCTTTACCGCGTTATCCTTTGTTGAAACAGACATCAGTGGTTGAAACACATAAACGGAGCCTCGTTGAAGATGTGCTTGTTGTGAGTATCTTACCATTATATTTTTCATATCCTCCTTATTTTCATCGTACTTATTTGTTTACTTTGATGAACTGACATTTTACGTGTTCTGTACTCTGTTCTCTTTTCGGCTATTGAATTGTAGTAGTGTTTTTCATGAAAGATTTGAAGATCGTTTGCGTTCTCATGCCCGGACGATCACAGTTGCTCAGCTGACCTCTGTTCATTTTTTGTTCCCTATCTGTCATGCACAAAAGCTATCACGTTTCGCTGTTCAAGCCACTCACCAAACGTTTTACATCATGTTCATTTCTCAGAATCTTGGCCGACAAAGCTCTAACTTGTTCATACCTCGATATCGACGGTACCGAGGTATTGGTGCGCTCAGCTCATTTTACGAGGGGAGCCTTCACAGAGAAAAGGTATTCCATAGCATTCCTTCAAGCAGTATTAAATTTTGTCATTTTTCTAGATCGATGCCCTTGACCCGAAAGTGCGAGACATCATAGAACGTGGTTCGGATGAAAGGTACATTTTAAGTATGATTAAATCAGCTTTTTTTTCTATTAATTGTTGTAGGGCATTGTTCACATGGTGAGTAACCAGTGTTCAAGTGCTAGTGTGTATCGTATCTCTGCTGATCTATGGGCTCGGACCTTTTGGCTGGGAACGAGTAGAAATGAATGAAGAAGTCGTTGATGTTTCGCTTGCGATGAGGCAAGTGAGCTACTACGAGCCTGTCAATCTCTGGATAGGACCGAGATTTGTAAGCATAAATTAATGTAATTTCATCGCGTCCATCAGCGAATTTTATAGGCCGACTTGATACGACTAGGAGCGAAGTATTCGCCTTGCATGAGACGCGAATCTGGCTTATGGCGATTGATTAATGAAGAAAGGGCCAAGGAGAATGGTAACGGATGCTGCGTCTTCAATGACGGTACAGGGTGCTACCAGACAGGGCAATCTAGTTGTCCGGTATGTGAAACACATGTCTAAATTTCCTGAATGGTGCTGAAGCACAATTTTTAACACACTTTCAGAATTCTTTTTGCTGATGATGTGCAAATGATGTGTTTCAGAGTTTTTTCATGGATATCTCCATCCACTCCCTACACTCCGCGCCCCGAATGAACTCTGTTGGCACATGTGTGATTGGTTGGAAATCCAACCGCGCTGGCACAGCTGTGTGGTCTTAGGTGAGCATCCTCTATTATAGTCCCATTGTCAATTAGCGTCTATCGTCTATGTTTCTCCATTTAGGCTCATTTTGACGAAAACACGGAGTTAATGTTCTTTATGCAATTTTTCGTCTCTTTCTGCACACCCAATTCTCACAAGATTTATGTAAGTGCGTTGTTTTTTGAGCCATAATTCAGAAATTTTGATATCTAATCGTCTGCACAATGCATTTTATAACTAAACTGTTTTCGATCTTGAAATATAGCCTATCAGGAATGTGGCAGCTCCAGCAGTTTGGCCATCCGCAGCCGGTTCGCTCGACCTCGCCGGGCTTTTGTAAAGGTCGCCTGCGAACGCGGTACAGAGCACGAGGGAGTCGCAGCGACTGCTCGGCGCTTCTGCGACACTCTTGTTGAGACGACCTCCTTTACTCCTCAGTCAGGAAGCTAACAACATTCTCCAAATCGCCGCGAATCGCTCGTGCCTTCCGCCACGTTCGCAGACAACCTTTACAAAAGCGCAAGTTCGAGCGGACTTTTTCTAAGCAGGAATCGTTACGGTTTCCTAATACTACTGTTACTTGTTTTCGCTACTTTCGTTTTACTTTCTTCTCGCTTATATGAAGTCTTTTTTTCTGTCAGGCCGTTGAATCTTCGAAGTTCATGGAGGCGACATTGTGCTGCATTGAAGCCTTGTAAGGCTCTGCCTCCTATCAGGAGGCTGGGTTCGTACTGATCTTTGAGTTCCAGAGTTCCACCACATTCCCATAACACGCGATCCCCCCGGGGGGGGGGGGAATGTTAATGCATGCGGCCCATAATCCTCTACCCTAGATCCCCTCCCTTCCCTCCCCCCAAGGATGTACGTGCAGACGGACCTAAGAATGAATTTGGCTAGCTAAAACATGACGGCTCTTTTTTTACTTTTACGCTGGACATATGATAGCTAGTTTCACAATGAACATGTACATACATCTTTTATTGTTGACGCTGTTTATTGTCAGTTCGATCTAACGATTGCCTTTTAGGTGTTTTGGAACAAATTGCATATGCGTCTTGAGAATCGGTTATACAGTCGCTTCATTTCATATGATCATGTGTGCCATTGCACACACAGTCCACTTTGGCGTCCTCATCCTGGATTTGCAATCGCAAAAACGCAAGAGACTTACCGATTTTATCGATTACATCAATTTGAGGAGACTAGTAACTGAAAAGGAAAAAAAAAGAAAAGAAAATGCTAAGAACACCTTGGAAACACTTACCTGAAGGCTTGTTTCTCCCACGAATCCAGGATGGGGACGCCAAAGGTGAACTGTGTGTGCAATGACACACATGATCATATGAAATGAAGCGACTGTAATTTTTGTTGTTCTGCTTACTTGGTGTTATGTACAAAGAACGATGTTTGTTTGACTGTTGGAAAGCGGTTCTGACTCTCACAGTACTGGAAACGATGTATCATTATTGGAAGTACGCAATCAGTGCACGTCTGAATGCAGGTCCTTATAGCGATCAGTGTTTTTTGTGTGTGCAAAACAACTGTTTTGTAGAACTATCAACATCTGCGGGGTATTGAGACATGCAGGTGCCCTTCAAGCAGGTAATCACAACTGTTCACACTTTGGAGTTCTTCAGAACTCGGTGGATGCCTAAGTGGCTGTGAACGCGCAGGAACTCAACTTGCTCGCAGAATTTGATAATAAAGCTCTCATCAAAAATTCTTCCCTTTTGCATTACCTTCATTTCTTTTCCTTTTGTTAACAACTATGCGATTTGTTCGAATTTGCTTGATTAAAAGGTTATCAGTGGCTTCTAAGCAAAACTTTCACGGGAGTGGTTAAACAAGAGGTAGAAGCTTAGCGATGTTTTGTTGTTGGATCCGTGCACTGCATTATTAGGGGGGTCAAGAGATCAAATTTTTGAAACAGGTGAAGTCCTTGAACAAGATAGGAAGTTTAAGATGAAGCCGGGACTTGTAAAATTTGTGGTAGGCTATTGAAAATAGCATCTCGTCCATTATGATGTGTTCTGAGTAGCTCAGAATAGGGGGAGGGGCTGTAGCTAAATCTTGGAGAAACGAAAAAGATACTGCGAACAGGCGATCACGAAGTGCAGCTAATTGCTATCTTTACATTTCGTGTATGTGAAAGGCGCTCGTTTCGGCAATCGAGTATCAAGAGACTAGATCCATACTCCATACTAGTAAGAGTCTCAGTCGCTCGTGATATGACCGTCCTGAGACGACAGTGGGAATTCGTTTGAGCGGTACGACAGATGATGCAAACAATTGTTTGGCGTTTTCGAAGGCAACTGCATATGACAACTAACAAAGACGGAGCTTGAATTTATAGAGATGACCATTACCATCAGAAAGATGTGTTAGTGATGACTCGTTAACAAATCATGCGCGCAAAAAATCGCAAGAACTGAGTATTAGACCATGTTGTACTTTTTACCTTCCAACAATGCGCTTGAACTACTTTTGTAAAAGGATTTTCCTACATACGAGCTTAGAGCTATCATCCATTCTTGGAATCAGCCAAGTGGAAGTTAGACCGTGCATTTCTGACAAGTTTAAACCACTCTTTTCATTTCTAGTAGTAGAACGATTGAATGGGGTAAATTACGAGTTTTGACTTGTACAATAGGTGGTTTTCTCGAGAATGATTACGTGTAAATGAACGATATGGATCAATGGCTCGACTGAAGGCAAGCTGACTCGTCGAAGCCTCAACTGAATTTATATTCAGTTGAGATCGACTGAGGCAGCTTTACTACGGGCCAATATCTTCGAGCATAAAAGTTCTGATTTCTCGAAGGTCTACGATTTTCGACCTGGTGTTGGGAAATACGAAATCGACAAGGACTAAGGAAGAAAAGGTAGGTTACTGTGGACAAAGTTTTTTTTACAATTTTTTCCCAAAAAAATCTACATTTATCATCACTATTTCCGCTGACTATGCTAGATTCTCTCTCACATAACAGAAAATATTATTTAGAGAAAAGTTAGATTACTCTTCTTTCCCATTCCCCCCTCCCCTCGCCCCCCCCCCCCCTCCCTCCTTCTTATTTTCGACTTACACGCTATATGTACTTTACTCCAGAATACTAGGTTATTTCAAAAGTTCTGTCCGATTTGCGGTTTTTTCATCTAAAATCTTATAACTTTTTTTTTCAAAATCAACAATTTTGTATAAACTAAGTTTTGTTGATTAAACGAGTTTATGGCTATCACAAGCACTGTATGTCATGTAAGGAAGGCAAGCGAGAAAGAAAAGAAAATTCTTTGAATACTGCAAGATTCTCTTCAAAACTGTCCAATTTGACTTACTGCTGGTTCCATATGAGGATGGGCAGACATATTTGGCTGCCATCATCAAGTAGCCTATACTTCGGAGGTTCTTTTGTGGCTGAAAAAAATTCGGGTTATCTTTGCTGCATAGAAATTTTTGCGAGCAAATCGAAAAAACCCATTATTTGAGTTCTCCTCGACATGCAAAAATGTGCTGACTTTCTAATACATTGCTGGACATAATTATAAAGCCACTCTAGAAATCGTCGTAATTTTCGTTCTTGTCAATGAATCTGCCTGAAACTTTGCTGTATTGTGCGCATGTCAACCTACCATGATCCCGCAAAACGGCTTCCAGTCTTGTTGAGTTTGAACGGAGAAAAACGAAAAAATTCAAAAAAGCCCTCTTTGAAAGCTGAGAATTATAAAGCAACTTGGTTTTTTCAATCACTATCGCATTCGTTGACTCTCAAATTTTTTTTATACAATTACATCCCAAAATATGAAACATTTGCAACACCTATGGCCTGTCATCCTACTCTAATAGAAACGATCACAGCATTTTCTGCTTTCAAAAGCACCAAAAGTCAATCTGCTTCAACAAACAAATGGTTTGAACAGTTTTCAAACTCTTGTTCATTTTAAATGATAACCATGGAATCTACTGACCCTTTTGGATGAGATGAAGAGCACTTTCGTAAACTCTGCGTAATCACTAATTTTGTCAGACAGACTCCAACCTCAACGTAGGCTTGTCACGCTTCTAAACCACAAAACTCAGTTTGCAATGTCCACAAAGTGCTGAACTTAATTTGCTTACTTTTTTCTTACATTGCCTACATGGGGATGCAGCTTTCGCAACAACTTTCAGATCTTCCCTAATGATGAGACTGACCACTCAACATTCAGTGGATATCAACTGCGGCTGAGCCAGAGTGCTCAATCCCGGAATTTTTTCCCAGTCATGCGCACGAGTTCACTGTTGTATGGCTGTCGTAATGGCTACATTACAGTATTTTCCGTCGCTTGAAAGTCGAGTTTTGTGGTGAAAAAGTGCGTCAGCCCTATGTTGAGGTTGGAGTCTCTCCTTCGAAATCAGCGATTACGCAGAGTTTACGAAAGCGCTCTTCACCTCATCTATCAAGAAGGGTCAGTAGATTACATGGTTATCATTCCAAATGAACAAGAGCTTGAAAACTCTTCAAACCAGTTGTTTGTTGAAGCGGATTGACTTTCGGTGTTTTTGAAAGCAAAAAATGCAGTGATCGCTTCTATTTGAGTAGGATGACAGGCCGTATGTTTCAAATGTTTCACAATTTAGGATGTAATTGTACAGAAAAATTTGAGAGTCAAATGCGATAGTGATTAAAAAAACAAAGTGCTTTATAATTCTCAGCTTTCACAGAGGGCTTTTTTGAATTTTCTCCTTTTTCTCCGTTCTAACTCAACAAGACTTGAAGCCGTTCTGCGGGATCATGGTAGGTTGACATGCGTACAATACAGCAAAGTTTCAGACAGATTCATGGCAAGAACGAAAATTACGACGATTTCTAGAGTCTTATATATAAAGCTGAATGTCTGTTTGTCTGTATGTCTGTCTGTATGTCTGTCTGTATGTGTGTACGTATGTTCCAAATAGAAAATTCCATTTCTGAACCGATCGGGACCAAACTAGCACACATACACTTCGGACCCCCGCGGGTGTCATAGGCTACTTTTCGTCATCACCCCCGTGGGGGTGATCAGCATGCTCGATTACACCCCTCTGCCAAATTCCAGCCCCCTAGCTCAAATTTTGCAAGAAATCGACAAAATTCTTATCACTGCCGGCGCGCTGAGCGGTCGGATTTCCTTTAGCGGTCACAGCGCCCCTCGTTCCTCAGTAGTTTTTTTCTGATTTTGTTTTGTTTCTTCTTCATTTTTCGCTTCCATTTTCGCTTCCACTCCTTCCTCTCTTCTCACTGTTGTTTCTGGCACCACCCTCTCATATTCCGCCATTTTTGTTTTGTTTAATTTTATCTTCTTCCTACTTGTGGTGGTTGCCAATCGATTTTGTGACTCTTTCGCGCGTGGGGTAGGTCGATTATCTATCTAATCA